GTGGTGAAGCCTGTGGCTGGGCCCTGTAACATCCCCCAGGGCAGTACTATCTCACTCCAGCCACGCCTGCAGGTAGTGATGTGGGTGCAGGAAGTTTTAGACTCCTGCCATTCCTGCAGTCAGAGATCTGGGCAGCCTGTCTTCTGCTATGCAGGTTCCCAAACTCCTCACCTGGGTTCAAACCTGCCAGCAAACCACGGGAGGCACAACTCCTTCAGGCCCTCACATCCCCCCACAGTGCCTCAGCTGGGGAAGGCTGCCCCTGCTTGAATGTGATCCGTAGGTCACAGTCAGCACCCTTCCCTGGGTGATACGCACTTTCCTCTGGTGCTCACAGGCCTCCTGGGCTCCCTGCTGCCTCTGGCCACCTGCAGCAGAACCATCCAGGGTGGCTGTCGGCCTATTGGGGCATGGCCTGGGTGAATGCAGTGGGGCAAGGACACTCGAACCAGAGCATTGGTGTAACAGGTCAGACTGACTGGAAACTTGCAAGCGGGGAAGGAGCAGGACCCCATCGCCATCCTTTCCCAGGAAGGTGACTGTGACAACGGGTGTCCTTGTTAGAAAGGGGTGCTGGAGCCTAGTCAGCCTTTTCTTCTGCGATGCAAATCCCAGGAGTGAGTGTAGAGCTGACTTCTAAGCTGTTTAGGATGAAGGATTATCCAAGGTCATCCAGGTTTGCTGACAGCAGTCACAAAGCCAGCAGCAGGGACTGTGACGATCAGATGCGCCTCCCCATCAGAACAGCTCACGTGAGGTCCCCGTCACTATAGGGACAGCACCCACCTTTCTGCAGTCCCCACCTCAACTCACATCTGTGCCCTCCTGTGGTGGTTACAGCCACCTGTGCTTAGGCACAGATCTGGGTGTGAACCCCACTACTTCAAGGTTTTTCCTGAGACCTCCAAACTATGATCCAGCCCACATGACAGAGAAAGGGCACAGCTGGCTTCTCACTCCACATGAAATCGTGTGAGTCCCTGTTGTGGTTCTCCGGTGCCCATAGCACCCACATGCTCCCAAGGGAGGATGAGACCCCACAGTCTGCTTCCTGGAACAAACCTCCCACAGCTGCAAGCACTGTTCTTACCTCACGGGCCACGTTCTGGGCTGTAGCAGACACACCTGGGGATGGCACCCCCAGACTACAGATGCCCACATGGCTGCCTGGGCTGGAGACTTCTCCCTTTGGTGTTGGAGATGGGGATGCCCCACAAGTCAGATCATCAGCAGACACAGCTCCCATGTTTATTAGCACCCAGAAATCTACGCAGCAGCCTTCCCCGGAGGACCCAGGACCTGGCCTTGGACCATAGCAAACAGCCCGATGCCACACGAGATGGCTCTTCCTAAGCCTGCAGAAGATACCACCTCCAGTCTGAGTGTAAATCTGCCCTGCAGCTCCCAGCTCCATTCCAGACTTCCAGAAATCCAGTGCCGGGGCTTCCTTGAGCTGGCCCTGTGCCCTGCATGGGTTGCCTGGTGGCATAAGAAGTGAGGTCCAGGAGGCTGGACTCCCACAGACCCTCCAGGAAGCCTAGCTGCCAAAGTATTCCTGCTGGAACTTCTGGAAGTCTTCCTCTGTGAACACTGTGCCCTCAGCCTTCTTCTTCTTAGTCTTGGCCATAGGCCGGTCACAGGCCTTGCGGCCCCGGTTCTGCCGCAGAATCTGGGAAGAAGCGAGGGCATATCATTTCCATGTACAGAAGAACAGATCCGGGATCATCAAGGTCAGTGGGATGTGTGGCCCAGGGCAGGGCTGGACCAGCGTCCCATAGGTCCATAGGTCCCCATGCTAATCCTCAAGGGTTGGCCTGACTTCCACCCTATATTCACCCCAGGCCCTTCCTGTAGCCTGTACCCTTGACAGACCTGCTGGGTCACTGACTCTGCCAAGGTGCTCTTTGTGCCAGCCATAAACTTCAGGTTTTCTTTGAGGTGGTCTCGACACTCTCGCTTCCGGTATTCGGCTGTGGGGGACAGGCAGTTTGTGGAATTTCAGATTCATTCTCTGGAAGCCTTCTGGGTCCCCAGCCCCTGGCCCTGCCAGAGGTCCATCACCCTTCTCCGGACTGTGTGTCTGGGCTTTTCTTGGCCAAATCCACTTTCCACACAGGTTCTGGGGAAAGCACCCAGGTATCCCAGGCAATCATGTGAGACTCATTCAACAAATTCATCCTGCATACAAACTAAGTGTCACACTCATCCTGGGTGCCGGGCCTACAGCAGAACCCAGGGAGGCAAAAACTCCTGCCCTCATGGAGCTTACATGCCAGTGTGGAAAGAGGGGAAAGAAGGTGAACCACATTTTAGAAGTGAGCCATTTTGTGGAGGAAAACACAATAGGAAAAGAATGTAATGGCAGAAGGTTGGAATTTTACACAGGAAGATCCAAGGTCTCGCTGAAATGACATTTGAGCTGTCCTGAAGGGCAGTTGTTTAGGTAGAGGGAACAGTCTACAAAGACCAGATGCAGAAATGTGAGTGATTTACTGAAGAGCAAAACTGGCAGGGGAAGGGAGAACTCTGGCTTTTCCTGAGGACAGTGGGGAGCCATTGGAGGGTATATAGGCAAAGGAGAATCAAGATGTGACTTGTGATACAAGATCACTTTGGTGGCTGTTGAGAATTAGATTACTGGGAAGGGGCATGTGGAAAGAGACTAGCTAGAGGCCTTTTCAAAACTCCAGGCTGGAGACGAGGTAGCTTAGACCCAGGTGACAGCCAGAGGTATTCTGCAGACTGGCTACTGAGGCACTTATCATTCCTTTCACTCATAGATTATGTGCCAAACCCCGGGCCAGACATTAGCACCACAGACAAACCAAAGGGAGGTCTGTGCCTCCCAGAGCTTTCAGTCCAGCTGGGGAGGCAGCAAAGGGAACCCCTGTGACAGTGCGGTGAGCCAAGGGCAGGTGTGGATGGGAGGTACCTCTTGCAGCTCCAGCTTCATAGTATGAGTCACTGGGGCTCAGACATCTCTCCACACCTTTGGTTGTGCTATGCCTGCTATTGCAATTCATACCCCCTCCTTTTGGTACTAGGGATCGAACTCAGGACCTTGTGCTTTCAAGGCAGGTGACAGCACCACTGAATTAAATCCCCAGCCCAGTTCATAACCCTTTTAATAGCTGAATAGCTTCTATGCAGCAGCCTTTAGATTCAAAGACGTCTAGGCACTTACACACTGCCCATATCTGCTCCTTTCTTAGTCTTTTCTTCTTTTTCTTTTTGGAGACTAGTTTTAGTATATAGTCCAGGCTGGCCTTCAATTTGCTATGCAGCCCAGACTGGCCTCAAACTTGTGATGCTCCTGTCTGCAAGTACAGACATTCGCCACCACACTGGTCCCATCCCAAGTTTTTGTCTCCTTAATGGTACCACATTCCCTAAGAAACTACTCTACTAGAGCCAGGCGTGGTGGTGCACATTTTTTAATCCAAGCACTCGAGAGGCTGACAGAGGATTGCCATGAATTCGAGGCCAGCCTGGACTACATAGATTCATTCGTAAAGGGCTCAGAACAGCGATCGGCACACAGAATATTAAACTGTTAAATGTTCCATCTTGGCCCTGTTCATTTCCTGTCACCTTTACCAGTCTGCTCTCTTTCACATTCTCAAAGGCAATAAGCTTCTTTCTGACTCCCTACCTCTGCACTTGCTTTTCTTCTAAACATTTACGATTCCTCCGACTCTCAGCCTAATGCTGCTTCCTCAGAGGAAGCTGATTGGCCTTTTACTCATCCCTTTCCAACAGCCCTACGCTTTTTTTTTTTCCCCATCACAGGCATGAACACACTTAGCAGTTACAAGCTGATTTTGGGCCTCTTCGATACTTCTCTCTGCACTTGGGCTGTACGTAGTCCCCGGGCGTCCAGACCGTGTTTCTGTCACGCCCATGATGTCCCGGCACCGCCGCCAAACCCAACGGCCGCGACTCCAGCTCCTTCTCACACTCACCCAGCGCCGACTTGGGTACCTTTCCTTTAGCCGAGTTCCGCAGTTTCTGGGCCGCCTTCGCCTTCCGGGCCCGCTTCACCGGAGCCCCACTCGGCTGGGCCTGGCTTGGCGCCGCCTGGTGGGCTGCAGGGGAAGAGAGAGGAACGGACACCCGTCGGAGGGCGCGCAGGGATCCCAACCTGCGGGGACTAAGTCCGATGGACCATTCTCCCGTCGGAGGGCGCGCAGGGTTCCCAACCTGCGGGGACTAAGTCCGACCTGGACCATTCCCCACCCCTGTGCGCCCTCCGAAGCGTCCGCCGTCTTTCAGTCCTCCTTACCCTCCGACGCCGCCAGAAGTTCCAGACCCCGCCGCAGCAAGGCCGCCGACATGACTGCGGCTGGCCCCGCCCACGCGCTACGCTACTTCCGCCTTGATCGCGCTCCTAATCTCGACGGAAACCCGACCGGCAACACAGAGTTCCGGAGTGGGCGGGACGGGGGGACGGGAGATCGGGAGGCGTCAGTCCCTCGAACGCAACGTGGGAGGAGGGGGCAGGGACTGAGGGCGGGTCCAAGGCACAGAAGGACACATTTATTGTCCAATCCTAATCTAACCAACCCCTTGAGCGTCAAGGCCACCCCTTCTTCTGGAAGCGGTCGGCTGCTAGTCCTGGCTGATTGGTCGGCAGTGGGCGTGGCTGGGCTGTTAACCTTATTCTACGAAAGGGAAAACTGGGGCTACCTTTCTTTTTTTTTTTTTCGTGTACTTCAGAGGATTGTATCGCGTAGATCGAGATCAGCCTGTGAATCCAGCTGGCTTCTATGAAGCCAAACATTAAAGACATTTACAAAAATGCAAAATAATGTATTTTTTTAAAAATACTATTTTTTTCATAAAATGTTATTTGTGTTACCAAGCAGTGACTTTTTTTTATTGTAGGTGATTAATAAATATTAAAGGATCTGTTTTAGTTTCCAGTATGATAAATATGAATGCATATTACACAAGTACAAAAATTCTTTGAGATTCTGAATTTTAAAGAGTGTAAAAAGCCAGGCCTGGTGGCTCACGTCTGTAACCCCAGGCCTTGGTTTCGATCCCCAGGACTATCCCCCCGCGAAAAAAAAATAAAGGACTTCTTAGACAACAGTTTGAGAACCTCTGGCTTAGAATGGTCCTTCTCCAAGATGAGAGGAACTCTGGCTTGCACCATCTCTTCCTCCTGCACCTGGCAGGCAGGGGACTGGCGGTGCCAGGTAATGCAGGTAGGTGAGCGAGAGATGACTGAATTCACCAAGCCGGCTGCTTGCGGGGGGGCCTTGCGTGCGGCTGCACCGTGACAAAGTGAGGGACGCGAAGACGGCTCTGCGGATCTTTCTGCACTGACCGGGCTGTCCCTCCGCCCTGGAGGAGGGAGGCATTGATAATGACCAGCTGTGTCAAGAGTCGAGGTCCTGTCCGAGTTTCACATTCACCCTTTCCCAGCCTATGAGGCAGGAACTGTTTCCCCCCATTTTACAGATGGAAGCAGGCACAGAGGGGCCAGGAACCTGACTGGATCACACAGGTGGTGCCGCAGGGCTGGGGAACTGAGGTCGACTGTGTCTGCTTTGGGCGGCTGTGGGATCAAGAGGTTGCAAAGGAGCAGACCAAGTCCATGGAGAGAGGCGACCAGGCAGAATCGTCTGTCCCCTGCGAATTTCTCATGGAATGGCGCTGTAGGACAGAAAGGGATGGTGTGGGGACAGTGGTCTCCAGGGATGGACCCTATACTTTGTCCCATGGGCTGTGGGGGGGCCTTGAAACCCCCACTCTCCTTCCTTTGTTCTATGTGTTGTTCGTTGTCTATTTTCCCATCCACCCCCACTGTCAGCTGCAGGAGGGCAGGGGTCTCTGTTTTGTTCATTACTGGATCCCTAGTGCCAGGGACAGTGCTTGGCATAGAGTCAGAGCCTCATAAAGGCATGGATAGGATGGAGAAAGGATGCATTTGGGACACCAGCGGGCAGTTGAGTAGAGATGCCCTGGGATGTGGCCAGCAGGTTCCTGGGTTGGGCAAAGAACCAAACTGTCTGGGAGTCATGTCAGTCACTGACTACTAGGTGGCGCTACAGGACAGCTTTCTTTCTGGCTCCTGGGCAGCGGCTGAGGCTGGTGTGTCTGGGGAGCGGTGCGGGGTCTGGACGCCCCTCAGCCTCCGTTGGCTCTTTGCAGCCAGTACCGTGTGGCTTGGCTCCCTGCGATGCTGTCCTGGCGCTTCCACGCTTGGGGCCAGAAGCCCCTCCAGGGTCTGGCTTCAGTGGGAAAGTTGAGGCAGAGCCTCTAGCCTGGGGTGCCCAGCCCAGGGACAGCTGCAGGGGACTTGTGGCCCAGGGACAGCTGCAGGGGACGTATGACCCAGGCACTCCCTTAACAAAGCACCCCTCAGCTTCTGCATCTGCTAAATGGGTTGGGAAGTAGCTCCCCTGTGGGGTAGGTGTGCAGGGCCCCTACATTAACACCACAAAAAACCCAGAACAGGGCGGTCAGGCTGCTCAGACCTTACAGACCCAGCCACTGCCCTGAGTTTGGTGTCCCCCATCCTCACGAGAACCCAATGGGCAGTGCTGTGGGCCCGAGTGGGCTGCCCCACATCCCGCTCAGATGCCTGCTGCCTGCCAGGCTGGTCTGGGGCCACTGAGGGTCCCATGCTGGTTCCTAGGGGGCTGCATGGCCTGCTGCTCCCCTGCTCCAGAGCCTGCCTGCTTCTGGCTCCAGCCCCAGTGCCCCTGGGGGACTTGCTTGGTTGAGGCCCTTGGCCCCAGGGAGAAATGTCACAGTGAGCAGCACCTGTGTCCCCACCCTGGCTCCTTCCTGGTGTCCCTGGAACCTGTCCCTGAGGCCAAGTTTTCTGCAAGGCCACTTGGCTCTTCATGCTTGTGATTGCATGTGATCATGGGTGTGCATGAAAACGTGAGCGTGAGAAGTGTGTGCTGGAGTGTCGGTGTATGTACATGTGTAAGAGCCTGAGGTCGTGGGCGTGTGCGTGCAGGGTGGTTCTGAGTTGGGTGTCAGGTGCTTGGAGTCCAGAGGGCCTGTCCTGTCTCAGACTCCAGCTCCCGCAGGCTCCGCCTCTCCATGTCTCTCCTTGGCTTCTCCCCATGCTCCTGGCCTATGGCCACCCTCAAATTAAGAACCGAGTGAATTTTCAATTGCCTTTCTGGTGGCTGCAATTGCAGCTCCTGTGCCTGCAGCCTCCACCCTCCTCTTGTCAGCACCGATGTGTGGACCTGTGTTGGCTGGCAGCTCACACTAGCGCTAGAGGAGCCCGTTCTGGTCTGGTGCTGTATTTCCTATGGGGTTACCAGGCAGTCACTCTGTTTTCCAAATCCACACCCCTTGTGGTAGGGGAGGCGACCAGGTATCCCAAGGTATGGGGCTCACAAGGAGCTGCCTTCCCTCTCTGCGCCTGCTGTCCCCACTGAGAACTGGATTTTGGGAAGTGTTGTCCAGCCATCTTCCTGGGCTGGGTGGTGGGACCCCAAGTTCCTGGCTTCTGCCCTCTGGGAGGAGCCGGGTTCTGGATTCTGGTGGGCAAGTTGAAGTCCTAGTTTTCCCCATCACTGTGCCCTGGGCAAATCACATTACCTCTCTGTGCTTTAGTTTCCTCATTTGGGAGTTAAATGTAATACAGTAATCATCTCAGCTGGATGTGATATAATCCCAGCACTCTGGAGGCTGAGGCAGGATTACAAGTTCAACTTCAGACTGGGCAATGAAGTGAGACCCTGTCTCAGAAATAAAAAATAAAAAGTGCTGGGGATGTAGATCACAGCAAAGGCCCTGGGTTCAGTCTCCAAAAAACACAGAAATGAAAGTAAGAGGCAGGAAGAAGCTGCTAGAAGCTCTCTGTGGGTCAGTGACTTAGGTAAGTAGGGTCTTTTCTTTTTTGCAGCTTCAGAATTGAACTGGCCAGGCATGGTGGTGGACGCTTATAATTCTAGCACTCGGGAGGCTGAGACAGGAGGATTGCTCCAAGTTCAAGGCCAGCCTGGACTACATAGTGAGTTCAGGGCCTGCCTGGAACACATAGTTAGTTTGAGACAAGCCTGGAATATATATTGAGATCTTATCTCCAACAAAACAAAACAAAACAAAAAAACAAGCCAGGGCCTCACACATGCTAGGCAAACATTTACCACTAAGCTACATCCCCAGTCCGGTTTTTTTGTTTTGTTTGAGATAGGCTCTTGCCTGGTAGTTCAGGCTGGCCTTGAACTCCTGCCTCAGCCTCCTGGGGCTGCAGGTGTGTGCTATCATGTCCAGCTACCTGAGCAGTCAAACATGCAGCTTTGCTACCAAGTTGCTGTATGACCCGGGTTCATGCCTTCCCTTCTGGGGCTGTGATCAACTGGGGTGGCTCCCTCAGGGCTACTGCAGAGAGCGGGGAGAGAAGGTTGTGCTTGGAAGATACGGGGCCCTCAGAGAGCAAACAGCCCCCTCCAGCCCACTGGCTGCTGATCATTTTAGCTGGGAGAGGAGCAGATGGAGCCCCAATTTGGGTGGCTGACCTTACTGTGAGACCTTAAAGAAGTCCCCTCTCTGCTCTTTGAGCCTCAGTATCCCCATCTGAGCAGTGGGGACAGACTGTACCAGCGGCCAGGATGGACTGTGGAATCGAGCGGGTGTCATTGTCACTGTGGGGTTCGGGGGATGTGGGAGCCGTTCTCAGCCGGCCCTGAGGTGGGGGTTCAAGCTCCCAAAAAGGCCCAGTGGGTATAGGAAAGATTCGGTCCCTTCCAGCGGCAGCCCTTTAATTCTAATTACGTCTCCATTAAAATGCAAATTTCCAGCAAAGCCCGGAAGGGAGGCCCGGTTGTCCTGGCAACCAGAGTCTGGGGTGTGGGGAGGGGGCGGGGTCTCGTCTTTGCATTCTCCGACGGAGATGGAGTTTGCGATGAGCCCCCACCCCAGCTCGGGGTCTCCTGCCCTAAGACTGGGTCTTCAGGGGCAGGGAACTGGATGACACGAGTCATTTATCCTTGCAGGCCTCAGTTTCCCCATCTGCTAATTAGGGATAACCAGTTGCAACTTGCAAGATTGTCCTTAGGATTCGGGGAATGAGCATCCCGGCCCTGGGGGAAGCGGCTTGGCCCTGAGGGAGACACTGCTGTCTCCTGTCCTGAAGACCCAGTCTCTCTCCTCTGTGGATGAGAGGCCTAATGTGATATCAGAGTGAACTTCAGGCTGAGGATCCCCTCACACTCATTTTGTAGCCATTTATTTTATGCTTGTAAGAGGGATATGGATATTTTTAAAATTGTAGAGGAGGGATCTTTCTGCCCCTAGTGGATCTAAAACCAGGAGGGATAAAGAGAAGGAACTTTAGGAAGGGAAAGAGAGCTGGCCAAAAGCAGCAGGAAGGGATACATGTATAGAGGAAGTAATTACAGTGTTTCCCTTTTTACTTCTG